ACCTGCAATGAAGGGAAGTCCACATGCCTCGAGAAGTCTCCCCCCGGCAGTTAAAAATAGCGTGGTGACACGCAGAAGACACACACGTGAAAGTCAGCTTTCCCTCCTGTGGGTTCCAAGTGTTTGACTCATTTGCTGACTGTCCACATAGGGTACAAATAAAGTCGCCGCCCCCTGGTGACTCCCTAGGTGAAAGAAGGGACATCTTTTTAGGTTCCTAGAACTGTCCTGGGACCAAGCCCCTCAGTATGACCTGTGAAGATAAAGCCCTCAGGGACTGACTCTCAGGCTCCTGCCTGTCACCAGTCCCTCATAAAATCCGCTGCTTCCTGCACCCGTCTTCGAGGTCAACCCAAAGGACGACCCACAGAGGCCTAGCCTGTGTCTGCTTTCCTGAGATGCCCGAAACCACAGATATGAGAGCCTTTCAGGTTCCTTCTCCAAATAGCTGGATGCCCTTCCCGGACACCAGTGTCAGCCACAACCCCAGGGCTCCCCTACCCCCAGGGAGCACAGAGCGGAGGGAGTTGGGATCAGTGATTCTATGCAATCATTCCAGCTAGAGGCTGGGGGGCACTCATCAACCTCTGAGGTCAGCAAAGGCACAGATGGTTGGCCCTAAGGGACCCCATTCTCTTTGAAGAGTGTCAGGGGACTATTCCCATAAGCACCATCATGCCAACCTCTCTGCCATGACCTGGAGGACCAAGCACAAGGTCAGATTAGGATAGTGGGACATGCAAGAGACAGGACATTGCCAGGGCACAAGAAGAGAAAAGAGTGAGTACTGCTTAGGAGGCAAAACTAACGGATTGTGAGGCTGGGGGGTGAAGAAGTAGTTTTAGGTTGTACAAAACTGGAGGAGGGCCCTCCCTGGTGGCGCAGCACTAAGAAGCTAAAGCCACTTTAGCATGAGTTTGATCCCCACCCTGGAGGTGACCACATGGGCGGCAGACCTCTCCTGACCCGCCTCCTGCTCCCCTCAGCAGTGTACTTCTCAGTCGGCCTGTTCTGCTCCCCACTCTGTCTCTGGTGAATCCTCTCACCACCCCTGCACCTCTGGCCTGTACCCCAGTTCTATATGCATAAATAAATCTTTTTTAAAAAAACGGAGGAAAGGGAGAGCTGTCTAATACACCAGCATGTCTTGTCCTCTCCTGTGATGTTCCCACACACGGATGCCTGAGGCAGAGGGCTGAAGTAACAAGGCCCTCCAGCGACTTGCCCACTGGACAGAGGTGCCAGCTCAGCCACCAGCAGGATGGCTGGAGAGGGAAGCCTATTGCTTGTGGAAGAGAGGGAGGACAGGCCTTGTCCATCCTCAACTCTCTCCCAGCCCAGTGGACAGAGCACAGAAGACCTTTTAAGGCAAGAGAGGGGTGTGCCTCTCTAGCCTTCCTCCCAAACTAAAGAATCCTAAGGATATCCTCTAACTCCCTTTGCCTTAACTCTGACCAGCACTAACATGGTAGAAACAACATGAATAAGATTTCTCAACAGGATCTCCAGGCCTGGCCCTGCCATGGTGTTCAGGTGCTCAGAGAGTAGTCCCCTATTTTGAAAAGCACTAGATTCATTCAGTTCAGGGGCAGCCCAGCATGCCTGATGGAGCAACCAATCTGAGCCTTCTCCACAGCTCTCTCCATTTGGCCTCAGGGCCGTGGGTGTTTCTAAACAGCTATCCTGTTATCTGGGCCCACCTTAGTCCATGTGAGGGGGGAGCAATCTCTTACCTCCCCACACTAGTTCCCTTTTGCATTAACGCTGAATATCTGTGGACACAGGGCATGTACCAGGCCCTAGTGGGGGATCCCCCTCACCCAGTAGCAAGGCCACAGCCCCCTGGGAAGAAACAGAGACTCTCCAAGAGCAGCAGCTATGGCACAAGGTTCAACCCCTCAGGGAGTGTGGGGGCCTGTGAGTGAACTTCTACCCTCGGTACAGAAATATCCAATCTGACTGGGGTGCCTGGGGTACCCCCTGCCCACCCTCTGTACTCATCAGCAATGCCAACAGACACAGATAGTCTCCAGCAGGAGACTTGCCCACCCTCCCCCAGGCTCCACTGTCTCTGAGTTCTCCCAGTTGGTGAGTTTTCGTTCTAACCCAAACCCTCTTGTCACTGAGTTATTTTCTCCCAGAGACCGGGGAACAGATGTTCATCTGCCCTCCAGCAGCCCCGTGGTAAGTAGTGGTGTCTAATCAAAACACCAGCTCCTTCTCAGAACTTCTTCCCTCCAGATACAACTGCTTACTCACTCTCCCTCAACAAGGCTTAGTTCCCAACCTGCTAAGATCCCAACTAACCCTGGAGCCAGAGTTAGAGAAAAGGCAGCTCTTTCGCTCTGCTCATCAGCAGTAACAGGAACAGCAGTCCCTGGCCAGCAGGCACAGCGCAGCCTGTCCTCCATGGCCTATCAGGATGCTCTCCCCTCTTCACTGGGGAGACAGGCTCCCAGAATCTACGGGGGTTCTCCGAAATCACAGACCGGGAAGTGGCAGGCTGGGACTCAAACTTCAACTGTTTTCTTTCAAGTGAAGCTAATTGCCTCCAGGACAGGAGGGAGATCATTGCTTACTTTCTCCTGCAATCACCAGGCCTGACATTACAGACACCTAGAAAATACTGGCTCCACAATGACTCCAGGCACAGGTGGAGGCAGGGAAGGGCCAGCGAGCTGGTGAGCAGGTTAAAGTGAGATCTGTCTCTCACAACGGCAACCCCAAAGGTGCACCGGAAGTGGCAATTGAGCAGTGGAGGCAAGAAGGCCCTGCCCTGTGCAGCCCCTCCTTGCTGCCATCAGCTGGGATTTAGAAATGGGGAAGCCCAGCCCTTGGGCCACCCCACACTTCCTTCATTCAGAGTCAGCCCTCTGGGACTCGGGGCTGCTCCTTTGCATGAGCACCCCACCAAGATAGCTCCTGGTCCAGACAGGGAAGAGGCCCCTTCCCTGCCCAGAAGTAACCTCCCCGCTGCAGCCAGTCAAATGTGTCCACACTGAGCTGTCTGCAGGAAGAGCTGTTCCCTTAAGAGCACTGATCCCTGAGGTCACTGAAAAAGGAAATGCTGGTCTCCCCCTTCCCCACACCCGAAACCCTTGGCTCTTCATCAGCTCCTCCTCCAGCCCACGGGGTTGACTGGAGAGAGCCAGGGCTGTGCCCAGGGCAGCTGCCAGCCCCGCTGAAGCTGGCAGCCTCCTCTTCCAAAGTGCCCAGCAGGAGAAGCGGTTCTGAGAAGGCAGCAGCAGCAGAAGGACTCACAGACTCAGGCTCATTACCGGGAATGACTAAGTGAGCTGTGATTCCAAGGGAAACCCCGCTCGTTTCTGCTCACCAACGGGTTCAAATCCTCGAGCTAAGCAGACAAAGTCCGCCTCTAGGAGCGTCCCTGCCACCGGGCAGCCCCTTTGAGTAGCTGAGTCCCCGGGGGCTCTCTGCCTCGGTCCTCTGACAGGTCTGCCCCGCCCATGGCTTGAGCGTCGGAGCCTCGGTCTGAGCAAGGCTGGGATGGGGAAACCCGATCAGCACCTCCTAGGTTTCGCGGCTGGATTTCAACATGGAATGTGACAGTCTTGCAGCTGCTGTGCCTGGCCTGAAACAAGCTCTATTTGAAACCTCCAACAGCTGAACCCCTCCAAGCTACCGCCAGCCCAGCCACCCCCTGCCCAAAATGACAAATAAGTAGAGAAATCCAAGCAACAAGCGAGCACGTGCACGCACATATTGGAGGTGGGGAGCAGAGTGGGAAAATGCACTTGTCCCGCGATTCCAGCCCTCCAGAGCCTCCCAGCCGGCAGCCAGTTGGAAGACTCCCAGCAAGCAGAGCATTGACAGAAACCCACCTTCCTCAAATCCCATTCTTTCCGAGGACCCGGTTTCCAAACCCCTTGTGGGAAGAAAACCCCCTCCTCCTCCTCTGGGCTTGGGGTTAGACTGAGAGGCTGGAACGGCGGCGGGGCCAGCTCCCCCACTAGCCGCCCGCGTCTCCTTCCAGGCGCGCACTCACACACTGGAACACACACTCATCCTTATTTATCCCGAGAAGGAGTCGGGGTGGGAGGGGAGAGCTTGGGCTGAGCCGCTGAGCTGGGGGCGCTGGCGCTCGGGACTGCCCGGGAAACCCTGTGTCCCATTAGAAGGAGAGGCGCTCCCCCACCCCGAGGATGCCCAGGCTGCTCCCATCTGCTCTGCTGGGTAACACCTGTAGCCATTTTTATCAGGGGATGTTTATGAGGCAGCAGCAGGTTTAATCTGAGTCCTCTTTCCGAGGGAAAGGACCGCTGATTTCCTTGCCTGTATTCTTACCCTAGTCCCCAGGAGCCGCGGGTCACGGCTGCTTTCTGATTTTGCCCTAGGTCTTTCAGGGAAGAGGAGGGGAAAAGAAACTTGGGGAGAGAGGGAGAAGACAGATAGAATGGGGACTTGGGAAACAGCTAGGAATCCCCACCCCCCACCCAGACATTTATTTCTTTTTATCCTCAGGAAAATGGAATGGAGCAGGGAGGGGAGGAGCGGAGGGGAAGTCGCAAGGACTGGCAAGCACATCAAGGCGGAGTGTAATTAATTGGTGCGTTAAGCTGCCGGGTTATGCTTTAGTACGAGTGAGCCAGGAGGAAAAATGATTTCTCAGAAGGGATTCTTTAATCCTCCCTAACACAGAGTCTGCAAATTAGACACAGTGGATGGGGATGTCCCCCCAGCTCCCCAAGAAGGGGCGGAATGAATTCTCCTGGGATTATGAAGAAATACCTTGGGAAGTTAGACTTCAATAGAATTGAGCAAAAGCCTCTCCCCACCACCATCTCTCCTCTCTCCGGGTCCCTCTTCCCAGTCTCCCAATCTCTCTCTCCCCATTCTCTCTCGCTCTCCCCTGCCTACCTACATATATCCCTTTTGTTCAAGGTATAAAGAGAAACCGCAGCCCCTACCTTTGAGTACAAACCCCAAGAGAGCTCGGTCTCTATCACCATAACAACAATTCCAAACATCCCAAAAATCAGAGCATAGTCACTCAGTCGCTTTCTCTTTTCAAACAGGGCCCTCCTGTGTCCCAGCTTATAGCCAATGTTTTGGTTTTTCCGCTTGTTGGCTTTGGGGAAGGTGGTGCTGCTGGCGGTGGTGCCGGCGTGCTGGTGGTTGTGGGTAGCATTGGGGTGATGGAGCAGGGTCTGGTGGGCATGGTTGTCCTCCCGGGAGGAAATTATGATCTCGGGGGGATTGCTGGGGCTGAAGAGCTGGAGGGGCTGGCCCTCGGGTTCAGCCTCAATGAGGTTCCTCCGGGAGGCGCTGAGGCGGCTGAGGGGCTTCATGACCCCACCGCTGTACTTGCAGGAGCTCATGGCGATCTCCGTGAAGGGGTTGCTGTCCCGCCGGTGCACCAGGGGGCTGGCCTGCCGGTGCCGGCCTCCTCCACCGGGCCCACTTGTGGCTGTGGAACTTGGAGAGTGGCCAAGCAAGTGGTCATTGAGATTGAGCTGGCTGCCTTGCCTGGAGGAAGGGTGGAGAATGGTGGTAGAGTTGGATGAAGGGGGGGCCCTGAAAGCAGTGGGAGAGGAGTGCAGCAGGCCAGGATGGACAGGCTGGCTCTGGAGTTGAGCGAGCTGAGACAGGGGATGCGGTGGCTGCTGCTGCTGAAGCTGCGGAGGCTGAGGCTGCAACGGGGGTCCTGGGGGTTGCTGGGGGGCTGCTGGTGGCGCTGGCGGTGGTGGTGGTGGTGGCTGCTGCTGTTGCTGCTGTTGCTGCTGTTGCTGCTGCTGCTGCTGCTGTTGCTGCTGCTGAAGCTGTTGCTGCTCATCCCCAGAGGATGGACAGGGACACTTGGGGTCTTCATCCAGGTCCCCCACCCCCGAGTCATGGAAGTGCCCAGAAGTGTCCATCTTGGGGCCTGGCTGGATTCCCTGCAGCACAACCCCCCACCCCAAAGCCACCCTTGCTCCAAAGATGTCCTCAAAGAAAGCCAGGCATCCAAGCTCCCCCACCAGAGTGTCTTGGCTCCAGTCCTCTCTCTGGCTTGCTTCGGTTCTCTGGGGCTGCCTGGAGTCCAGACGCTGCCACTCAAGAATGCATTGTACCGGGCAGGGAGGAAGGCAGGAGGGGAGCTTGGAGAAAGACAAGGGGGAAAAAGAACTCTGCCTCAGGAGGTGGTCCTCTATAGGAGCTGTGAGGCCGGGCTCAGCTTCACTCCTCGCTGGCTCAATAGCTTTGCTCTCCTCCTCCTGCCACTGTTATATTGTAAGCCAAGCCCACTTATTAGCAGCTGGTCTCATTGGCTTGGCTTAACTCTCCAACCACCTCCTGGCCCCGCCCCCTCAGAGGCTCCTCCCCGGGGGAGGGGCTTGCGGTCCTCCGTTCCCAGCCCCGGCGGCGGCTGGCGGCGCGGCGAGGGTTGGGATCTGTAGTTTCCGCTCCACACCCCGGAGCTGGGCGGCTGCCCTTTTTCCCTCTGACAGGTATGGCAAAACCCCGTGAGCCCAAGGCGATAAGGGATGCACCCTCGCAGAGCGGTGAGGAGGAGGGCCGCCTGAGGCGGGGAGGGGGTGCGCCCTCTGCGGGGGTAGAGGATGGGGGCGGGGCAGGAAGCAGGAAGACAAACCGTTATTAATAGCCAGGGTGTACGATAGATTCCTTCACACATATAATCCAGTTACAGCGTCCAAAGCCAAGGAGGTGGGTTTTCACCAACTAATGCTCCAAGAGATTGAGTAGCAACTTCAAGGTCACAGAAGCACAGGGATCCACTGGTGCCAGGTGCAGAAGCGCACCTACCACCGACAGAACGCCTGCAATATGTGTGCAGGCGCCTCTCTGTTATTTCTAACCCTCACATCAACCCTAAGAAAATGATGTCATCATTCTCTTTTTACAGAGGCAAACTGTAAAAAAAAAAAAATCGCTGAAGCATAGTTAAGTAACTTGTCAGGTATTACCCCACTACCCCGCTTGGAATTAAGGATGCTGGGATTTGAACCCAGATCCATCTGACCCCACAGCTCCTACACGGTCTCCCAGGATGTTTTTCCACCGAGCTCATTGCAAAGTGGTTGCTCCTGGAAAAAGAAAAAAGCTGTGAAGGAGGAACTGGCTGCTGCAAAGCAGAGTGTGAAGTGGACCTTGGTTTCAGCCCTTCTGTGACAGCTGAGGGTGGAGTCATCAGAGGGTCTGACAGGAACAATGGAGAACCCCTGGAGTTGCTCCCCAACCGATCTGCCTCATGGGACTCAGAGTCAGAGCTAGGAACAGCTGCTGGCTTCCTAGGTTCAAACCATGATCATCAAGTATTTATTAAGCTCCCACTGTGTGCCAACGGAGTTCCAAAGAGATGGAACCAGCGCTGAATTAATTTCCATTTCTAAGAGCAGCAGCCTTTGGGATCAGTGAAGAAGGGACATTGTGGGATTCCCCAGGCACCCCTAGGATTTTAAGAGGGAGACATCTTCCTGTCTTACTCCTGCTTGCCCAGGCCCCTTTGCTTCTGGCCAGCCCCTTTCCAGCACACATGTGTGTGCACCTGTGTGTAAGTATGTGCAAACTGGCCCACACATGCACATGTGTGCACACACATGTTACACAGAGCTTCTGAAGCAGCCGTCCTGAATGGGGGCATGGCGGTGGCGGCCAGGTCAGGGCGGAGCAGGCTCGCGTTACTCGAAGGCAGAGGACCCTATGTACCAGTCCTCACCTTTCTACTCCACTATCAGCACTGATGATTGAGAGGGAAGTATTTTTTTTTTGTAACATAAAGCCACAATCTCAGAAGCCTGAATAATTCTAATTATCCCTACACAATAATCTTGATTATTGTTACTGCGAATGGCATGGTCATTTCCCCCTCCAAATCCACCACTACAACTTAGAAAGCTGGGGCTCTGGCACAAATTGGGGAATTCATTTACTTCCCGTGGCTATGCAGACTCTCTAGCACTCACCCCCAAACTCACCCCCTCCAGGTTGCCCTTCCTCCCCTCCCCTTCCCTTCTGCCTTCTTGGTTTCCCTGCCTCCTCCCCCAGGCAGAGCCAGCTATTGGGTTGAAGGCGATAGATCACATATTTAGACTTTATACTTTCCTAACAAATTATCGTTACTGTGTCCATAGTAGCATTGGTGTGGTGTTTGTGTTGGTTTCAGGACCAGACTCCTAACTGGGCTGTAAAGAATCAAATTTCAGGGCTGGGCTCCAGGCCTGGCCATTTTTTTGTCCACTCCACTTGCCTTCTGCTCCGTGGAGTTTTCAGTGCCTTGTGCCTCCTGCCTCCTGCCTCCTGTTCTCCTGCAGTACAGGCTGGAGTCCGTCCTTGAGTCTGTCTCATCTCCAGGGACGAAGATGAGAAACAGCCCGGTTGGTAGGGGAAGAGGCCCCAACTGTGCCTGAACCAGCCATCTCTTGGAGATTCATCTGAAACCGATCTGAGCTAGACAGCTGATCCCCTGAAGCAACCTGTGAATGGGAGGAGGGCACTTGAGGATGGAGCTAGGGTTCTAGAGCCACACCATGGGGGCTGGAGGCCCCCTGCAGGGAGGCTCAGTAGATGAGACAGAGAGACACCTCTTGATCCCCAGCTTCCCACTATGAACCAAGAGTATATGCATCCCTGTGTCACAGGGTTTGGAGGAAGAGCCTGTACAAGCTGAAGGGGCTCCCCACCACCACGCACAACCACCCAAAGCCTGTGGCATGCTGGAGCTGGCTGAGAGCGGCCAGTTGTGCACCTCCACATTCAGTGAGGGTGCATTGAGGGCTTGAAGTCAGTTAGCAGGAGCATTTACACCACAGAAATCAGCAAACACTGCAAATGGCTGTTGGGGATGACTTTTCCTGGCAAACCAGTTGTTAAACATTTACTGACTGTTAACACTTTTGCCTCTTACGGTGTATCTTCTATACAAAACATGCACCCTCTAAAGCACTGTCTAGGAACCCCTCCTTCTTCCATCTTCCCCCCCAGTCTTTGCCACTTGCTTGGTGAGTGACTTTGGGCCAATTGATTAACCTTGCAGGGACCCAAACTCCTTAATTCCAAGGAGGCAGGTAACACAAGGCAGGAAATACACTTTGTCACTGTGAAGTATTCAATCAACCCTGGGGCCTGACTGAGGTCCAGATATTTACTGCTGGGGAGCGTCCCCACCTTTCCTCTGGTCCCCAGCTCCACCCATGTCTTTGCAAATACCCATTAGCAGGGCCATCATCCATTTTGTAGATGAGGAACTATAGAAGAGGAAATTACGCAGATTTCAAAACATCCACAGTCACTAGTAAATAGAGGATGGCTGGAACCAAGCCTATGTGTGTCCAACTCAAAGTCCTAGCAGTTTTTATGTGTCTTTGAAACAGATATCAATAGGCAGTCTTGTTGTATTTATTCAATTTACCCCCTCTTGTATTTATTCAACTTACCCCATGGTTCACATAGTCCATAGTCGGGAGCTTATGGTCTCACTGGCAAGCCATGACACACTCACAGGGGGCCTTAAGAAATAGGCCAATATTCCAACCACTATGGAAAGCTGTTTGGAGGTTCCTTAAACTGCTAAACATGGAGCTTCCATATGACCCAGCAATCGCACTCCCAGGTATCTACCCAAAAGACACAAAAATACTGATTCAAAGAGACACCTGCACCCCCACATTTATTGCTGTTTTATTTATGATTGGAAAGACATGGAATCAACCCAAATGCCCAAAAGTGGATGACTGGATTAAAAAGATGTGGTACATATACACAATGGAATATTACTCAGCAATCAAAAAAAATAAACTCATGCCATTGGCAGCAATGGATGGAGCTGGAAAGGATCATGGGTGGTGAAATAAGCCAGAAAGGAAAAGAAAAATACCGAATGGTTTCACTCATAGCAGGAGTGTAAGGGATCAGGAAAAATAATAATGTGTAATAAAGTAAAAAGGAAAATCAACAAACAGCTATAAACCAGAGACATTCTGTGGGGGGTAGAGAGGGGAATAGTATCAAAATTGGGGCAGGAAGAGCACACAGGACTCTGGTGATGGCACACGGGTGAATTGGTGGTGGGCGGTCCACAGGAACTACACCAAGATGAAAAAATGTACAAAATGAATGATATAAAATATGTGTATACATATATGTATATGTGTGTATTTATATATATATAAAATAAAGAAAATTTAAAATTAAAAAAATAGGCCAGTAGGACTCAAGGGGGCTTCAAGGAGGTGGGGAAACTTGAGCCCCACCTGAAGGATGGGCAATAACTCCATCCTGCCCCCAAAAGAAAGCTACAGAAAGATGCAGGGAAGGGGCTGTGGTGGAGTTTCTTAGGTCAGCAAGTAAAGGGAAAATGAACATGGATGCTTTCAGCAAACCCTGGGAGGAAAGGTGGCTCGCTATCAACCAGCCCCGCCTCCCCCCAACCCCCCCCCCCATCACTGAAGGGGCGAGCACTGGTTCTCACA